TCCTACTTTCTGCCTCTACCGTATTGAAAAACGGATTTCAACGTCAAGAGAGAACCTATAGACTACATCCAATCACAGATGAAAAGATAAAGCACTGTAGAAAGATATGGCTTCCAAAGCAAGGTACTTCATTTCCACATCCATCCGGTTAGTAAGAAGTTCGCACACCAATGCACACAACCAAGACTTCAGAGGAGTAGGGAAGAGACCCAGAAGTACCCCAGCCGGACAAACAATACCATGCACGCATACATGGGCAACCCTTAGGTGCACGACACTTACCTGAGTGGCCTGGACTCTGAGATGGAGTATAACTCACCCCCCTTCCTCTTGTGGTCTTCCTAACCCTATTTGCTACCTCTACACTAGGGTCCTATCATGTAGGAAGGTCGCACTTCCAACACCAATGCGCAACGCCGGATCCCCCGCCGATGCTGAAGAATCAAAGTGGTAACTTGCAGTCCGTAGATGCAGAATGGCTACTTCCCTCAAGATCGCCTACTTGAGGGAAGCCCTCAAGTCACCAAGTCTCCCTTAGGTCAGATTCCAGGTGCGGGTGCCTCTCACTGTCGCCTCTCTCAACTTGTCGCATGGAGTGCTCTTGATGTGTCTCACCACCACATACTTACTCTCAAACAACCTGGTCAGGTTCAATGCCGACCCAGCATGACCTAACCAGGTGGCGGCAGCTTCCCTCCCACTTCGGACCAACCCTAACCCCAAGTGGTTAGCCCTTACCACTTAGGTTAGGGTTAGGGTGAATAAGTCAACTCTCACCAGCAAGTAGAATCCGCTCTGATACCAATGTTATGATCCTGGCCAATTTCGAGATACACATTCATCAGATAGTATAATGTCGTCCAATTGCAGAAAGAAATGAATGACTTGAGAGGAGAGAGAGGGTAAGAAGAAGAAGAAGAAGAAGAAGAAGAAGAAGAAGAAGAAGAAGAAGAAGAAAGAAAGAAGAAGAAGATGATGTACACCAACAATGACAAATGATAATGCTCTTCTTCTTCGCCAACCACTCTCCTCCTCCTTTGCTCCTCCTTTCTTATTCACACAAGAAATAATAGTACAAAGTTGAATGGCTGATCCAGAATCAATGTACGAGTTCCTCTTCTACTGCAGGTATCACTTGAGGTCCACCATAGCCATGGCCATCTCCCTCACTCTTCACTCTCATAGGCCGAGGCTATGGCGGACTACTGGGCCTTGCCCTGATGCCCAAAGGACAACCCAAAGCAGCTATGGCTGCTCCAGCTCAGGCCGCCAGGCCTGACTCTGCCTCAAAGCTTCTTGGTGTAGCTCTACCACAGCTGGGGTCTTCCTGCTGTAGCGCCCACCAAGGTGATGAAGATGGCTGTCACCATAGCCAGGTAGGTACCTCTGGCGCTCCCCCTTCCTCCTGCTCTTCTTCCTCCTCCGTGTCCTTGCTCCTTCCCCAGCAGCGCTGCTCAAGCCAGCGCTCCAACCAGTGTGTCGCCAAACTTGCACACCGACAATGAGGCTGGGCTCTTCGCCCAGCCTGGAGATATAGCGGCCTGCTTGCCTCTTGGGCGGTGACTTCCAGGCCGCTCGGCCTTCCCAGCAACCGGTACCTCCTCCCTTTCGGAGGGAAACATCATTGCAGACTCTGGTATTGCCCATACAGGCCCTCGACTCAGACCGGTTGGACTGGTACCCGCCTAGACCTAGCCTACAACTACTGGGCCTCTCAAAATGCCACTCTTGTCTTCTTCTGCTTGGCCTCCAGTACCTGCACATCTACCTCTTCAGGGTGCGGTACCAGCCTACCTGCTACTTGAGTGTTTTTCCCCCGCTGCAATCCTCAATGTCACGGCCACAGGTAAGTACTGGCCCTGAGGGCCCAACGAACGAACAAGTGCCCTTGCGGGTCACACACACACTCAAGCCAACCAGCACTCAGACAGACATACAGTCCAGCAAGCGTGCACACACACACAGTCATGCAGAACTTAGTAGCAAGCGGGAAACTCAGCAAGGCATTCAGTCCGTGAGCAAAACTCAGAAATCAACTGTCTCACTCCGTGTTTCGTCAGGTCATCACAATTAAGTTAAATTAACTTAAATAACCTATTTGCAGTAGTATTTGCACTGCAATGATCCTGGACCTGCAAATATCTGAAACACAACTTGCGGCACAGTGAAACTTCACCTAGTTCAAACTCGAACACCCTGAACAGAATCAGTATGCATGACGATGAAAACCGCATCTGAAATTATTATTTTTACACAAAATTGAGATTGAATACAAGCTGTTTATGGCTGCTATCGCCAGAGTTCAGAACAGGTAACTCCTCGCTTCCCTCTCAAGCGCTCACTCTCTCTCTCTCTCTCTCTCTCTCTCTCTCTCTCTCTCTCTCTCTCTCTCTCTCTCTCTCTCTCTCTCTCACACACACACACACACACAC